GATTTATGACATCCTGTTGTCTTGGGCCTCTGTGGAATTTTTGTGACTCCTCGTGCCTCAACTCGGTTTTGACCAAATCTTAGATTGTCTGATTCGGTCTGATATCCTACAGACTGAATGGGTAACAACAGGACACTGCAATAATGGCTGGAGCTTTCTTTGCCCTCAGTTTTTAATTAAAGCAAGCATAACTTATATCTAAGTGACTACAGCCAATAACATATATTAGAATGCATAGTATTGTTGATTTAACATTAATTCATGTAAGGTTTTTAAGGTAAAATGTTTGTTTGACAGGCATTATCATCAGAAGTGGAATCAGCAGCAAGAGCTCTTATTGATGTGTTAGCCAGGGGCCTGGGTCCATCTTCATCAAGTGGCCTTACTCCTTTGCCTACTCTGTCAGAACCTGAAAATAGGGTGAGGCAGGCATTAAAAAGGTAATTTTATGTGTTGACCATTTTAATATTTAGCATTATTAAAATATTTTAAAACATGGTAACCCTTTTAAACATCTAAAAATATAACTTTTCTTGTTTTTTTTTCTAACCTTCTGCTGAAATACTATTCATAAATTTGTCTTTTTGTCACTCTTACCGTAGGCAATTCACAAGTATGTTTGGGACTGAAAATGACCAGCCTAGGGGCAAAAAGCGTTTCCCTGTGGCCAAACCTGATGTGAAAAAGACAGATTTTCTAATTTATGTGCTCTCCGAACACACCCTGTTTGCTCCAAAAGGAGATGAAGACCTAAAACTTGTACATGCTGGGCTTGGGAAGAGGCTGTTAACTGTTCCAGACAGTTTTAAACACAGTGAGGTAATTGCAAACATTATCATAATCCAAGTAATTATATGATGCAAGTATTTTTTTTCCATGACTTAAAAAATGAATAATGAATGTGGTGTTTTATGCTCGTTTAAGATTGTCACTCTGCTTGAGGAAGAATTTCCTAAATTAAAAACTCTTCAGGGGGGCTGGATGTTTTACAAGTCTACAGGTATTTATATTTTGCATGTCAAGTATAAATAAAACATGTAATAAGGTATTTCATTCTTTCTGATTTTATTGAAAAAAGGGTGTAGAAATTCTTGTGCTATCAAAAATGCCCTTCGCACATCTGAAGTCCTAATTACAAACTTTCTTCTGGATTCTGATTCTGGAATTTATGTCAAATACATTCTATTTTTGCTGTGCGTAAAGCATTCAGTACACATAAAATGACTTTTCATGTATGTAAATATGCATTACAAGGTGATGTAGCTATTGTGGAAAACCCAATAAAGAATAGCAGTCACAGCAGCGATTGTTCTCCCCTCTGCCATGTTTTAAGTTTAAGGCCTGCTCAACTTGGGAACTTGTGCATCAAAATTATTACTGAGCTTCCCAGTGGTAAATACAACTTAAGAGATCATTCATGTCCAAATTTGAACTACTTAACTCATATTTACAACAATTCTGATAGCACATAAAGGCAGCATTAGTCCTGAGTTTGACTCTCCTCTGATTTTACTTTTAGGTTGTGGTGAGCGGCGGCGAAAGCTGTCTATAATTCCCACAGACTCTGATGGATACTCAACTCGGCTCCTGAAATCGGTATCGAATAATGGGAAGAACATGCTTTTTGTAGTTCCACTACAAGAGCAGCTTTCCATTGAACCATTACCCTTTGATTCTGTGGAGTTTTCAAAGATGCCACAGTCAAGCTGTATGAAATGTGGCAGGAAAATACCACTGCCATTGCTGCCCTTACACATTAAAGAGTGCAAAGTAACTGAGACTGTAGGTTTTAATTGTATTGCTTTTCTTTTCTTTATTAGATCATAATGGTTTCTTAATATTTCCATTGCCGATCCATTTCCATTATTTCATTAGGAGTCTGTAACTGATATGGCTGTTCTTGATGATAAAGATGAAAATATTAGCGGAGCCACTGACCAGCCAAGCTCACCTCACGCAGATTTAGAACAATCATCACAGGTATTTTGATCAAAATGCATTCCTTGATAAATGCAGATATGTATATTTGTTTAGCAAAATGTGCACCCAAAAATCTGTGGTTCCATGCATTGTGTGAGGCTATTCTGAAATTTGACGAGACTGATCTGAAACTTTTAACACCTTTAGCTAAGGTAGAAAATACATGGCATTCAACAAATGTATGTTGAAATAATTATTTATTTTTACAGATTTGTCCCATTTGCCAGATTTCTCTCCCAACTGATGTCTTACTTTATCATGCAAGCACGTGTGGTGAAGGGTAAAGTTATACTACAATATGTAAACTCTTACTTTAATACCTTAAAGGATTAGTCCACCCAAAGTTGATATTTCTCTCATAGTTTACAGACATCTATTCTATAAGTCCAGCAGTTACATTTAGAAGGCATGCTATTAATCCATATTGATCCAGTCACTCAAAGTCTTCTGAACCATATAACTATAAAATGTGTTGCTGGACAAAGAGGCAAATGATCCATATTGTTAAAGACTTTGTTTGTTAAAGGTATAAATTATGGATTTGTTTAAAACATCTTAAAATAAACTAAGATTAACGAAAGTCAAAAGCTCTGAGCTGGAATGGAGGTGGAAAAAAAACTGAGAAATATCATTTTTGGGTGGACCATTTTTTTTTTTCATTCTATAAAAGACAATGGACAGGTTTCATAGACAGGGCTTAGATTAAGCCATGAGTATAGGCCTTTGTTGAATTAGAACATTTAAGTAACTTTTTTAAATGTTCCTTAGAAAAAACACATTACTGGTGTGAATCTTCAGACAAATCAACGGCACTGACATTTTTAGATATGTCAGTGAAAGTTGCATTCAGTTCAAATGGCTCAAACATGCATTTTAGTCTGGGACTAGGATTTAAACCTCGTCTGTGAAACCGGGCAAACATCTTTAGCTGTAAAGACTTTATTTTGTCTGTGTAGAATCAATGTTACTTTTTATTTTAATGTGCAAGAAAGTTTCTAAACTGGTTGGATAAACAAAACTGAAAAGTTGTATGTGCCATGCCTAATTTAGAGGGTGGACTTTCAGTGGCAGTGATTCTCCAAGCACTTCAAGAAGAGAAGAATTACCAGGACCCTCAACTGCACAAACATTCACGTCACTATCAGCAGGTTATGCACGACACATTCTGCTTGGGTAGCGCTGTTGTACTGCTGTGAAACAAGTACATCTATATGCATCGATTCAAACATTTTCTGTGATGTGGCTTTGTTTTTAACCCTAGATTTGTCATACAACTATGCTTGTAAAACGCCCTTTGCATAAATTGTGAATTTCTTTTTCAGCATGGAAATATGAAATGGACCCACAGAAAGCATCTCGAATGTTCTGTGAGGAATTGCTCTCCCAAAATGAATACTGTCCATCTCTGTCACTATGCATCAACCAATTTGATACTGTGGATGAGCAGGACAGTACACTGATTTCATTTTACAAAATGAACAGTGCTAACTGGTCAGATCCATTGAGATGTAGCTTGATAGGTATTACTCGCTGTAAATATTAAAATCATTATTTGAAGTAAAACAGTGTACATGAGCTTGCTGTTCTTTTGTTTTTGCTTTGTTGATTTCTTTTTAGGAGATGCAGCTGTTGGCAAAGGAGTCAACCGTCATGTTTTGTCAATGGTGATGCAAAAACTGAAGACTGGCTTCACTTTAAATTTGGGTGTGTAATTGATTGCTGTTCTTTTCCACTCACACATTATTTATATATTGATCACATTTTTACCTCATTCTGATGGTTGATGTAATCATCAACGGAAGCTCCTTCCCTGTTTCCTCCTCCTCAAATTTTTTATGCACTGCACTTCTGAGTCATGATTGGCTGATTAGATGATGGATGATTGTTGGTGTCAGACAGATTGGTTTGAGTCCATCTCTCCATCTCAACCCAGCATTCTGTCTGTGAAGTAGACCTTTGAACTTAAAACAACAATAGATTCTATTAGAACCTCGAATATGTAGAACCTGCCATATACAAGTCTGAGAAGACACTTGATACTGCTAGTCTGCTTCTACAAACAATTTGAAAGTGAAAGTGAAGTGTGGCAACCCATACTCAGAATTTGTGCTCTACATTTAACCCATCCAAGTGCACACACAGCAGTGAACACAGCAGTGGGCAGCCATATGCTGCAGCACCTGGGGAACAGTTGGGGGTTCGGTGCCTTGCTCAAGGTCTCACCTCAGTCGTGGTATTAAGGGTGGAGAGAGCACTGATTATTCACTCCCCCCCACTGACAATTCCTGCCGGACCTGAGACTCGAACCCGCAACCTTCAGGTTACAAGTCCGACTCTCTATCCATTAGGCCACGACTGCCCCCAAATTTCAGTGTGATTTGGTCGTTTGGGCCACTCCTTTACAGACACATATAGAACTGTTTTGCATCTTGAGAAGCTACGGTGATAATGCATCTTATGAATGTATTTTGAGATAATCTTTCAATAGTGTAATTGAGATAACAACTGTGACGTCCTATGTTCTCCCCTCAGAAAAAAAGACACCATAAAAGCAACTGAAACTGCTCCTTTCCTTCTCTTACTCAGATTTGATTAGTCCAGTGGTGGAATTAGTTCAGTAAAAAGTATCCCAAATGCAGAGAATGTTATGGCTTTTAAACAACTACTATTAAAGATGATTTTCTTACAGTTCATATTTTTCTTAAGGTTCTTCTACCACAGCCCTTTTTGAGGGGGAAAAAAACCACCGTGTCCCTTCTGCATCTGCTGTACTACGGGACAGCAACTTGTTCCAAATGGCTGGCCGAATGATAGGTCATTCTTTTTTACATGGAGGTCCTTGTCTTTCTGGACTGAGTTTACCTGTGGTCATCCTTCTAACTGGAGGGAATGCTGACAGCGCGGCTTCAGCTCTGACACTGCAGGATTGCCCAGACCTAGACCACAGGGAAACCATTAGTTTGGTGAGTACTTGCAATGCAATAAAGTACTTCAGTACAAGATTTTTTTTTCTTTTTGTATAAAGATGTCACTGAATCATTGTAATACTTTTCACATTTTCAATTTGCTCTTGCAGCTCAAGAAAACACAACTCACTGAAGAAGAAATGACTCGATTGACAAATCTTTGCCTTTTCTGGGATCTCCCTGTTCCATCATTGCGTAATCGAGACTGGCTGTTTCAACAGCTGTTGTCACATGCTGTAAGTTTTGCTGTTTTGTTTTATAATAATATTGTGACCGGAGTCATTGAAAAAGATCCAGTCTCTATTAACCTAATCAAAATCTTCTAGTAACATGCTGAAAAAAACATGCATGTGTTGGTACAGTACTAAATCATGCTAGTAACACCGTAGCATCCACATAGAATATCCGAGAATCACCTGCTTTGCAAAACACCCTAGCACCTGTCTTTCTATCTATCTGTCTGTCTGTGAATCCTTGTAAATTAATCTTGTGTGTGTGTGTGTGTGTGTGTGTATAATACTTTTTTTTTTCTTTTTTTTTTCAAGCCAACCTCAGAGTTTGTCTTTGTTTTCAGGTACTTGGACGTGTTAAGTGCCAGATTAAAGATTTGAGAAAAGGCATCAAAGACACCGGCATCTGGCCACTTCTCTCCCAGAGACTAGACAGTCACCACGTTGTTTTCCCAAGGGAGTCAGTTCAGGACATTACATCACAGGTAAGTATACTTGTATTTGGAATCTGGTATTCTCTGGTATTAATACTGGTATTATTTGATATATTTGGAAATTTGGTATTTTGTTTTGCATTCATAAAAAAAAACATTCAATCTTCTGTATAACTGATTATTTCATTATAGATGACACACATTTTGGGGTAGTCGATATAATGCCAAACTTGCACTATTAAAGAGTTCATGAATTGCATATACCCGTGTTCATGAATTGCATATTAAAATTTAAAATTTGCATTCATGTTTTGACACATAAGAAAACTTTTTAAAAAATTCAGAGTTCAAAACTCTTTATTGAAGCCCTGCTGCTGAAACTACTCATTGCCCACTTTCTTGGATTTGTGATGCCAAGTAGTTGAATACATCAGTACAAGAATGAATCCACAGTGGCTTTCAAATGGTTAAACCTGAGCCCCACTCAGCTGGCATAGAGTACAATTTATTATGCAAAAATGCCAGCTATTCAGAACACAGAAGCCTTAAAAGAGGTGTGCCCCCCAAAAGTGATGTTTCAAATAGAGGTTGAAAATCAGGATAGAAAATGGCTGTGTATTTCTAAATTATGACTGTTTTTTTAATTAAAAAATTACCAACATTATAAGCAGACCTTGTCTTATGAAGAAAATAATTAAATAAATATGGCAAGTTCATGGCCTCATTAGCATTCTTATTCAAACCCCATAGGGAATTCTTCAGAAAATTGTATGGCCTAAACCTGTGGACAATATGGATTATGAGGACAATGATGACTCCATTACTGTTGAAAAAATGTGTGTCATCACAGGCTATATGCGAAGATTTATTGAAGAAGGTATGGTTTATTTATGCTACTTACATTGCAAATGGTCTTTCAGTTAAAAATGGAAAAGGTCTCTG